GTTCTTGAGACTCCTAAGTGACCAGCCATCGGAATGTCATGTAACTGCGCGAGGAAAGTCTGACGCATATGTTGGGGTATGATCAGTAGCAGCTCAGGTCCGTCAGGATGCATGCTGTAGCAATATAATACGCCGTCTCGGAGCAGGAACATACGGAGAGACGGAAGAGTGGTGGGACCAGTCAGCCGAATGACGATATCTCTCAACTAAGAATGATGACGTTGCTCATCTCCGATTTTGCCGAAGGCGGAAAGTGGCAGCACGCAAGTAGACTCGCCGCTCTCAGGAACGTCCGGTGGGTCGACTGGATGACGCGACAAGCAGTCGGCATCTTCATGTTGGCGGCCCGATTTGTAAACGACTGTGTACGAATATTCTTATATCCATAGAGCCCACCAGCCAAGACGTCCACTAGGATCTTTTAAGGACGACAGCCGGCGTAAGGCGTGATGGTCAGTGACAACTGTGAATGGCCATCCATACAAATATGGCCGAAATTTATCCACTGCCCAAACGATCGAGCGCAAAAAATTCACGTTCAGTGATTGAGTAATTTCGTTCCACTGGCAATAATAGACGGCTAGCGTATGCAATGACGCACTCGCAGCCATGCTGTCTTTGTGCCAAAACTGCTCCGATTCCATGGCCACTTACGTCAGTGCGCACTTCGGTTGGAGCGAACATATCACGAATTCCGAGAATTGGTGGCGTCGTAAGTCTGGCGGTCAGCTCAGCGAATGCTTTGGCTTGTTCAGGTCACCACACAAAAGTCACATCTTTCTTCAGTAGTTCCGTGAGTGGGCGCGCGACGTGAGCAAAATTCCGCAAAAATCGGCGAAAGTAGGAACAGAGGCCCAGAAAGCTCCGAGCGTCGTTCTCGGAGGTCGGCAAAGAGAAATCTTTGACTGCGAGGATTTTCTAAGGCTTGGGACAAACACCAGAAGAATCAACAAGGTGACCGAGGACAGTGAGCTGGCGGCGGCCAAAGTGACATTTGGACAAGTTCAACTGAAGCCCTGCCTTGCGGAAAGCAGAAAGAATACTCGAGAGACGCTCGAGGTGTGTTTCAAAAGTCGATGAGAAGACAATGACATCATCAAGGTAGCACAAGCAGTTTGACCATTTAAAACTGTGAAGGAGAGCGTCCATAATTCGTTCGAATGTAGCTGGGGCATTGCATAACCCGAACGGGATTACTTTAAATGAAAGAGTCCGTCGGGAGTTATGAATGCTGTCTTTTCACGGTCCATGTCATCAACTGCTATCTGCCAGTAGCCGGAACGGAGGTCAATGGAAGAAAAATATTTTGCCTCCCTAAAGCAGTCAAGCGCGTCATCTATCATCGGCAGGGGTTGCACGTCTTTTTTCCTTACCTTGTTAAGATTCCGGTAGTCAACACAGTAACGCCAGCTGTTATCCTTCTTTTTGACGAGGACGACAGGCGAAGCCCATGGGCTTGAAGAAGGCTCAATGATGTTCCGAGCAAGCATCTTGTCAACTTCTTTCTGGATCACGTGGCGTTTGGTGGAGGATATCCGATAGGGTCGCCGATGTACCGGATTTGCATCACCGGTGTTAATCCGGTGCTTTACGATGGTCGTTTGGCCTAGTGGTCGGTCATGCAGATCAAAGATGTCTTCATACGACGCAAGGAGGCCACGAAGCGCGTGCACATGCTCGGCAGGGAGATCAGATGCGATCATTTTCGTTATGCCATCTCGGGTAGCGCCCAACTCTAGACCTGGATGTGACGGTGTATCCTCTGTTAAAGCAGAAGTGTTGTAGTCACTGGCCGAGGCAAGTGTTGCAAGGCATATTCTTCGGGGCAGTACTTGCGCGCAAATTCCAAAGTTGACAATAGCAAGACGTGCTACGTTGTCCTTCATAGTGATAATCGTGTGCGGGAACGTTACATTGAACGAAGAGAGGACGGTAGCGTTAGGTGACACCAGATAATCTCCGTCGGCCACAGGCGGATCGGTAGAGACGTCCATATACGTCACAGCTCGACATAATAGGCGAATGTGCTCGACGGAGCATATCCTTCGCGGCGCAGCAGAAGGATGGTCAACGGCGTGTGGTAAAGCAAGTTGCACAACACCAGCAAAACAGTCAATTAGGGTAGAATGCTCCGACAGAAAATCTAATCCCAGAATGATTTCATGTGGGCAGTGGTCCAGGACGTAGAACAAAACAGAAGTGTGACATCCAGCCACAATGACGCGAGCGGCACACATCTCAGCGACAGTTGACGTTGATCCATCAGCTGCTCGGACTACAGTGATAGGAGCAGGCGTAAGCACTTTTTTTAACCGATCATGAAGACTAGAGTTCATTACAGATATGTGAGCGCCAGTATCAATGAGTGCTATTGCAGGTGTGCCGTCTACATTTACGTTGATGAAGTTCTTGTGTCCGGGTAGCGTGTGGAGAGAAATTTTGGGTCTGGTCGGGAAGGCAGGCTCACCTCTAGGAGCTGCGCCCACTAGTTTTCCAAGGACTGGTGGCGGTTGGAGGGAGAAGGAGAGCGGCGATGGTTAGGTGAGCGCGACAGGCGTCCGGATGGCGACGGCGAGCGGTTTGGTCGAGCGGGCATGAGTAGCGAAGCATTGTCGTGGTCGTCGTATATTGGCATGCGGAAACCATTAGGTGGGCGTCAGGTGTTTGCGTAGTTTGGCCATGGCTGCCGATTCCAGGAATTACTACAATGACGTGAAATGTGGCCGACTCGTCCGCAGTGGAAGCATATAGGTCTATCATCAGAGGTTCGCCATTCAGTCGAGTTGCTGTAACGTGGACGGTTGTACGGACCGCGGGTCATATCAGGTACACTGAATAATTGGTGAGGTTGGTTCACTGGGCAGAGCGTCTGTAGTCCGGCGTTGGCCAGTTCCTGGCGGAGAACGGTCTGTATTAAATCATTGCGCGATCTAGAATCGTCAGTGGCCCGGGCATGATCAACAATAGGAGATGTGGCCTCGATTTCACGGCGGACGATGCGCACAATGTTGTCGGTAGTAGCAGCGGCTGAAGCGAGACGGGCGTCTTCGCAGGTAGACATGGCAGCCGTGTTGGGAAGACGTGAAAATTGGGCAGTAATACGACGACTTTTCGCTTCTTCGAAGCGTCGGCATTCGTTACTGACGTCTTCCACTGTCGAAGAGTTGCGGAACACAAGGAGAGTGAAGGCACTATCCACGATTCCTTTGAGGATGTGCGCGACCTTTTCGACTTCCGGCATTTTGTCGTCAATCGTGCGGCAGAGGGCGAGCACATCCTGAATGTATGTCACGTATGGCTCGGTGCAGGACTGCAGTCTGCACGCGAGTTCTTTCTGCGCCGAACGACGACGTCCAATGGGCTTGCCAAAGAGGCCGATGAGTTTGTGTTTGCAAATATCCCAACTCGTGATTTCTTCCACATGGTTGGAAAACCAGACTTTGGCCGTGCCCTGAAGGTAAAATAGAATATTGGCCAACATGAGCGTCGGGTCCCAGTTGTATAGTGCACTGACCCGTTCGTATGGCTGAAGCCATTTTTCGACATTCTTGTCGTCGTTGCCGAAAAGGTGTCTGGGTCATGTGGAGTCGTCAGAACAACTGTGCGGTTCGCTACAGCTGGATGCGACGCTGTTGGCCGCTGCGCTGTCTGACGAGGCACGCTTGGGGAAGGTAGCGACGAATGCTCGTTCTCGTCGTGATCAGCCATCGTAGAGGCAGTCAAGGAATTCCCGCTTCGTAGAATCGTTGTGGATGTTGATTCTGGGAGGACCCGCACCTCCACCAAAATGTTATGGAGAAAAGGCGTCGGAGAAATATGTTTACTATCGAAAAAACAAGCAGGCATACAAGATGGAACCCAGTCTACACGGGAGCTCTGACATCGTCCTCTTCCTTATCGAGTTTCGAGTTATCCGCCGTGGCTCTACGTAGCAACATTATTTCCCGTCTACATTTATACCTCTATGGTACACCACGCAACGGTTGCTGTCAAACCATCGAGTTCAGAACGCAAAAACAAAAAGCGAGCATGCAGTGCCAACTAGCCCAGAAAAGATCGCTCTCTAAGTGAACCTGTTCAAAACACATTGTCCATTGGTAGTCGAATCTCCTTCTCACATTTGAGCCTAATCAAAAAACGTTCACCTACGTGTCAATGACAGCTAGGAATCAGTCTCTCATTGCACAGCAAATTGGCCCATAAGCAATAAGATGTAATCAGCCACTGGATGGCCCAATTATTGCAAGAACATGTCCGTGGTCAATACGCAACCACCTTCTTGAGCCTTTGTTATAGCCCCCTTTTTCCTGTGTAGCTTTCAGCGTGGTCATTGAGACCAGGGAAGAGAAAAAGCGCGCAACTCATACCACGAATTCTTGAAACTACACACCCTTTCTTGCCACGCGTATAGTTCCCGCCTGACTTGACAGCGTGCAACACCTCCTTCACGCTGCGCGGGGTCAATTTCATTGTCATAAATAAAATTCCATTATAAATATGAGAAATTATGTAAAACGTTCGTGTTTCCTATAAAAATAGGTATGCAAGAAGTTTTCATGTCAATCGAATTATCTAAGGTAAAGATAAAGTCAACATCAAAAATTTGATTGACGATATCTTGTTCATTAGTCGCATCGATGTCATTTTAGCCGCGGCGAAGTGTTTCAGCCTCGGCAGAAGGGATGTGTTCCCTAGCAACATCAACCTGTACAAGAGATTGTGTTGTGGCAAGTTGGTGCCTTAGTTTGCTAAAACGCTGTAACTGACGCAAAGTAAGAAACGTGAAAAAGAGAGCAGGAAAGAGACAGACGAGCGCCAAGAAAAAAAAAGGACAGAAAAAAGACAGACGAGCACCAAACCGCTCGTCTTTCTCTTTCATCTTAATTTTCTCAACCTCAATGGCGCAAGATTTTTATTTTAAAATGTGCGTTGTGTAGAAGAAGAAACTACCTTGTACAGGCACATGATTAATGTGTCATGCGCATAACTGGCATTCCCAGGTTCATGGGCTCGTTCGTATACTACAACTTGGTGTTTACCTCGACAACTGTGCCTGGCAATCCGTACCTAAACTACGCCATCTCGTCGGCTGGCGAGATCCCAGCTGCACTTCTCGGGCTGTGGGTGGCACGAAAATGGAGTCGTCGCCATTCTCAGGCGCTCTTCCTTCTGCTTGCAGCGCTCGCCATGACGCCGTTGCCCTTCTTACCCGAAGGTAAGGCTATATAAGGTTTGTAAGGTACCTCGAGAATGTCACTTTAAAGACGAATCGGTTGCTATCGTTACACGAAAGCGTCAAACGTGCAAGAGAGTCGACCTCTGTAGCAGCGACACGGCACCTAAATTTCCATTGGCTGCGAAGCCAGTTTAATTTGATTTGATTGATATGTGGAATGTAGTGTCCTGAAATCATAATATTGCAGCGAAATCTTGCTTGCATTCAAACAACGCGCCCATCACCTGCGCACGGGGACATACATGCGCTGTCTAGTGTTGCGCAGAGACGACGATGATGGCACGAGCACCCCGCTGGACCTGGCTGATGTGCGCCACGCGCTCGGGACTTCTCTTGAAGAGGAAGAAGAAGGCAGACATCTTTGATGTTTGACTATCACGTTCTACGACCATAGTCTTTCGGAGTTGTGGGCACAAGGTCACCCATTATAAATACGTTTTCTTACACCCCCGAGTCCTTCAACATCGTTACATTTCTGGTGGACGTGCTGAGTAATGAATCAAAGCCCTTAGAACGCAAGACGGCGTAGCCCCGACCACCAGCGAGTTGATCCTGTGGAGCTGACACCTGTGTATCAGAGGACCAGTCACCGTCTTCGAGGTGATTCACCAGAATTCAGTCCACTCCACTTCACGCCAAGGGGAACTCAGTCAATAATGGACGCCACCATCATGACAAGGCAGGTAACACCGGCACACGTGGTGATCAATCAGCCTCACCAGCCACCAGTATTTCATGGTGACTCGTATGAAGACGTAGAAGATTGGCTGAACCTTTTTGAGAGAGTGGGAAGTTTGAATGGTTGGACGAGAGAGAAAAACTCCGCCGCGTGTACTTTGCTTTGGAGGACTTTGCACAGGCGTGGTATGAGAACCACTTAGCTACAGAACAGATTTATTCAAGTATTCGTTTTTGGTTCGGAGCATCGATCACTGGAATCAATTACCTCAATGCATAGTCGAACATTGCAATTTACAAAGGTTAGAAAAGGCTTTGTCAGAATATTTGTAACCAAATCTCTTGTTCCTTGTCGGTTGAATATGTTCAATGTACTATATCAATATGTTCAATATGTACTATATTACTTCAAATCTTTTTTCTCTTTTTGGTGACGCGTACGAGATGTATTCGAACATGTTTCTTTTATCCGTGACCTATGCGGGATGTATTCTGATATAGTTTTGCGTTTTTGTTTTTGTTATTTCCATATAGTGTGTGTCTTGAGCGTACAGTGTGAAACTTGTTTACACATATGTTCTTTGTACGTGCCAGATATGTAACCCCAACTCCTGTCTTGGCCCTTGGGCTGACAGTATGAATAAATAAACAAAATAAAAAAATGTAACCTCCTTTACGACCTGGGATGAATTTCGGCGACAAGGTCTGCCTATTTATGCCAGCACGGATCTCAAAGAAAAGGTGCAGGCTGCGCTTGAAACCAGAAACCAACTCACCAACAAATGTGTCGTAATGTACATTGAGCACATCATCCGCCTGTTCAAGCACGCAGATTCCCATATGACTGAAGATAAGAAGCTGTGCCACCTCATGCATGGGGTAAAGCAACAGCTATTCGCTGTTCTTGTCCGCAACCCACCACGAACAGTTGCGGAGTTTCATACGGAAGCGACAGCCATTGAGAAAACGCTAGAACAGCGGGCTCGACAGTACAATCGGGACATAATGTACGCACCTGCCAATATCCAATGTCTTCTCTGGAGGCCAGTGAAGTCACATGGACGCCCCGCGAGAACTCATCAGGTCGGTGATCAGGGAAGAGCTCAGCAAGTTGCAAGCACCTCACACTACAGCAACACTGTGTGTCGTCGACGTAGTACGAGATGAACGGAGGCAGATAATACGTGAGCCGGAGCGTGAACTACAGCTGATCCAATGCATCCCAACGTACTCTGAAATACTCACACAACCCGCAGCACACACCAATGCAGCAGTTGCGATGGCTGATCCTTACCCACAGACGGCACGCAGCGCACCTCCTCCACTGGAACCAATGGCTACCCACCTGCCACGAGCCCGTAGTGTAGCTCGCTACGTGGATCAAAGGCCCCGGAAAAGTGACATCTGGCGTGACCGTGAGAGCAGGCCTTTGTATTTCCATTGCGAGGAAGCAGGTCACCTATATAGGTTCTGCCCTTACCGACAGGCAGGATTAAGGGGCTTTCCGTTGTACGCACCATGTCCTCGAAACAGTGAACGGCCAGCGGAGATCGAAGAGTACCTGTCCACATCACGTACCAGAGCCCACTCACTCCACGCCAACATCAGCCAAGATTGCCGTCACCCAGGCGTTACCGATCCTCAAGCCCACGTGCTTCTTCCGCCCGGCCTGAGCACCGTTCTACAAGCCCACACCCGGAAAACTGAAGCAAGTGACCTGTGGAGGTGAAGCCGCTGATAACTACAGTTGCGAAGATCCTCCATCACGGTTTCAAGGTGATGATGCTTTGTTTACAGAGAATAAGCGTAGCAGTGCGAAGATTACTTCATATTTGCGGTTGGAAATAGAGAGATACGAGCTGATTGCTTTAGTTTACACTGGCACTGATTATTCGGTAAGGAGTCACAAATCAGCAGAGAAACTGAAAAAGGTTGTGACGAAATGGAGTGGGGCACAGATACGCACGGCAGGTGGTCACACTACTACGCCGCTTGGCAGATGCACCTCAAGGCTCGAGATAAGAGGCTTTACTTACGCTGCTGACTTCATCGTACTGACGGACTGTTCAAGGGAGCATATACTAGGTATAGATTTTCTGCAAGCCAATGGAGCCATAATTAAGCTGCGTAGATCCAGTGTAACGTTTTCGACGGAACAAGCTATGTCGGTAAAGGAATCGGAAAAGCGACGTCTTACTGCTCTGCGCGTTGTTGATGATGACGTCACAGTGCCACCACGCTGTAGTGTAATGGTGCTTGTCGAAAATAAGGCATTTTGTGACCATGAAGGAATAGCGGATGGAAATGTAGGGCTCTTTTTAAACAAAGGAATTCGCGTGGCGAGGGGTGTTGTTAACTTAACGAATCGCCGCTCAATTGTACTGCTTACGAATTTTGGGAATAAATGTCAGCACTTCGCGCATGGTATGGCTATCGCCTATTTCCACGAGTTCAGCATGGTGACCGAACTATGCCGTTTAGCGACAACGCCAACCACTCCACAAGAGACCTGCAACGTCGACGCATCAGCTAACGTCAACCATAGGCTCCCATATTATCAAAAGAAACGATTGTTTTCCCCTATAAAAGAATTTTCGGACTGCTTTTCAACGTCCTCCAGGATGTGACGCACGGCTATTGCAAAACACAGGAACATGACAGAAGAAGCCACGAGACCGATTTACCAGCACCCATATCGAGTATCGCAAAAGGAAAGAGACGTCATCAAGAAACAAGTGAAGAAGATGCTTTCAGATGACGTGACCCAGCCTTCCAGCAGTCCATGGGCGTTTCCCGTAGTGCTTGTTAAAAAGAAAGATAACAGCCTTCGATTCTTCGTCGGCTATCGGAAATTGAACAGCGTAACCAAACGAGATGTATACCCTCTGCCACGTATCGATGACACACTCGGTCGACAACAGAGGGCAAAATACTTCTCCTCCCTTGATCTCAAGAGCGGATATTGGCAAATTGAGGTGGATGAGCGCGACCGTGAAAAGATGGCATTCATAACCGCTGGCGGCCTCTGCGAATTTAAAGCGCTTCCATTCGGCCTGTGTACAGCGCCAGCGACGTTTCAGAGAATGATGGACGCTGTCCTCGCTGGACTGAAATGGTAGTCTTGCTTGGTGTACTTGGATGACGCTGTCGTATTTTCCGCTACATTCGACCAACATCTAGAGCGACTCCGCACAGTATTAGAATCTATTCGTTCAGCAGCCTTGACCATCAAGCCAGGAAAGTGCCGCTTCGGTTTTGAAGAGCTTCGATTCCTCGGAAACGTCATCAGCTCCGAATGCGTTCGTCCAGATCCCGAAAAGACAGCTGCTATCGCGAAGTTCGCGAATCCTAAATACAAGAAGTCAGTACGTCGTTTCCTGGGTTTATGCGCGTACTATCGGCGATTTGTGGAAACTTTTTCGAACATTGCTGAACCCTTTACTAATCTAACAAAAAACGACGTGCCCTTTATGTGGTAAAGTGAGCAACACGAAGCATTTGATGAGTTAAGAACACACCTGCAAGCCTCTCCAATCCTCGCCCACTTCAATGAGACTGCCCAAACTAAAGTTCATACTGGTGCGAGTTACGTCGGCCTCGAAGCCGACGTAACTCGCACCAGTGTGAACTTAAGTGTGAAATGGTTCAGTGTGAAACGGCCACGAAAAAGTGCTAGCGTATGCCAGCAGCAAGCTTTCGAAAGCTGAGACAAATTACTCTGCGACCGAAAAAAAGTGTCTCGCGGTCATCTGGGCTATAAGTAAATTTCGACCGTACCTCTATGGTAGACCATTCCGAGCAGTCAGTAACCACCATTGCCTGTGCTGGCTAGCGAATCAAAAGGATCCCTCTGGATGACTAGCAAGATGGAGCCTTAGGCTACAAGAGTACGAAATTACTGCGGTATACAAATCTGGGAAAAAACACAGCGATGCCGACTGCCTATCACGCGCACCAGTGGTGACAAGTGAGCCGGAGGTAGAAGACTTCCCGTTTCTAGGCGTCGTCCAGGAATCCGAAATCGCTCATCGACAACAAAATGACCCCGATTTGCGGCCGCTTATACAGCGTCTCCAAGGACTCAACATTAAAGTCCCGCGCACTTTATCCAGAGGGCTCCCTTCGTTCTGTCTTCAAGAAGGGGTCCTTTACAAGAGGAACTTCGAGCCTCATGGTGACAAGTACTCACTCGTTGTACCTGCACATTTACGAAACGAGATTTTGCACAAATGCCATGATGAGCCAACATCTGGACGTATGGGTGTCAGCCGTACATTCACCAGAATTCATCTAAAATACTACTGGCCAAAACTGTTAGCATCAGTTTAGCACTATGTGAAAACTTGCCGTGAGTGTCAAAGACGCAAAACTCCATTCGTGAAACCTGCAGACCTCCTCCAGCCAATAGAACCACCGGATGCTCCATTCCAACAAGTGGATAGTTGTAGCCACGGACTATCTCGCTCGTTACGCTGAGACTCACTCACTGTATAGTGCAACAGCTCTTGAAGTTGCCAAGTTCTTCATCAACAACATAGTCCTCAACCATGGTACAGCCAGCGTCGTAATTACAGATCGTGGCACAGCTTTTACTGCTGACCTAACGAAATGTCTGATGCGAATGACCCATTCAGACCAGAGAAGAACTACGACATACCATCCTGAATTAAATTGCCTAACGGAGCGCCTCAACAGAACTCTGACTGATATGCTTTCAGTGTATGTTGACGTCGAACATATATTGTCCTACATCACGTTCACATATAATACAGCCGTTCAAGAAACAACGCGAGTGACATCATTTGAATTTGTACGGGGCTGAACAGTCACCACTTCACTGGATGCCTTGTTACCACTGAATGGTGAGAGCAGCAATCCACCCGACCTAGACGACTTCTTGCAAAGAGCCGAGGAAGCACGACAGATGGCGAGATACAGAATACGCCACCAAAAGCGTATCGACTCCTACCGGTACAATAAGCATCGTACCGAAGTGCATTATCAACCAGGTGACAAAGTATGAATATGGACCCCAGTGCGTTGCCGTGGACTTTCTTAAAAACTTCTTAGCCGATACTTCAGGCTTTACGAAGTGCTCCATTGTGTAAGCGATGTAACGTACCAAGTCAGATCCGCTATACACGGGAGCTCAAAACGCCACAACCCTACAGAGGTTGTACATGTAGTCCGGATGAAGCCTTACTATGAAAGATCATCGGAAAACCAGTGACGCCTACCACGAATCTATTCATTGCCTGACGCATTGGGACGATGCGTATGAGGAGGGGGATTATGCCGCGACATCTTTCCTGCATTCAAACAACGCACCCATCACCGCGCGCACAGGGACATACATGCGCGCCGTCTAGTGTTGCGCAGAGATGACGATGATGGCACGAGCACCCAGCTGGACCCGGCTGATGTGCGCAACGTGCTCGGGACTTCTCTCTTGAAGAAAAAGAAGGCGGACATCATTGGTGTTCGGCTGTCACGTTCTACGACCATAGTCTCTTTGAGTTGTGGGCACAGGTTCGCCCTTTAATAAATACGTTTTATTACACCCCCGAGTTCTTCAACATCGTTAACAATATGATTATGAGAGACGCCGTAGTGAAGGACTCCGGAAATATTGACCACCTTGGGTTTCTTAACGTCCACCCAAATCTTACTGCACAGGCCTTCAGCATTTTCACCTTTGTCGAAAATGCAGCCGCTGTAGCCGGGGTTCCATCCCGCGACCTGTGAGTCAGCAGCCGAGTACATTAGCCACTAGACCACCACGACGGGGAAACGGGGAAAGCCAGTGGGAAGGTTCAAGGTACCCCCCCCCCTACTAAACTACAGTAGGAGGCAGATCTTGCATCCCCCCCTCTTTTTAAGGTGACTACTCTATGCGCATACTCAGCAATATTGTCGCATCGATTGCAATAATATAACAAGACATAATTTATATATAGTAGGATATAAAAATATCAGAAATATTATTCGAATAGAGGGATAGTAATAATAATTGTTGAGCTTTTACGTTCTAAAACCACAATTAGAATATGAGGAATGTCGTAGAGGAGGGTCCTTGATCGATTTCGACCAACCGGAGTTCTTTACACATGCGTTTACAGCCCAGCCGCGGTGGTCTAGTGGCTAGTGTACTCGGCCGCTGACCCGCAGGTCGCGGGATCGAATTCCGGCTGCGGCGGCTGTATTTTCGATGAAGGCGAAAATGCTGTATACCCGTGTGCACAGATTTCGGTGCACTTTAAAGAACCCCAGGAGGTCAGAATTTCCGGCGCCCTTCGCTACGGCGTCTCTCATAATGGTATGATGGTTTTGGGACGTAGTACCCCACATTATGAACACACATTTACCACAAAGCATACAGGTGGCCACAGTGACAAGGAAATGTTGCGGTGGATGGACGGCATGCTGGCTAATGTTTTTTTGTTTGTTTGTTTGCATGTATGAACGTTTTGAACACAGAAAACAACAGGTGCGGGCAAGCGGAACTTCATGGGCTTTGTGCGTTGCTCGATCAATCCGTTGTCACAACATTCACATCCTGAACGAGGCATTTTCATGTAAGCGATCCTTTAACCGACCACACTTTTCATTCATATCATAAAAAACAAATTTCCTTCACGATTTGTGGTGTAGAGCAGTGCACTGTGAGCGAAAACGTTAGACAGACAGACTAATATCACGCTACCAGTACCGATTCTATGGGTCCGTTGACAATGGTGCCATCTAATATATCCAAGCAGAGTGTACTCGGGAGACCAAAGAGACTGCGACTGCTGGGGCGTGCGCAGTGCCACCGCGGGAATGTTTTTAAACCGTGCGGCAGCACCACGCCACACGTTCCACTATGCACGCGTGCCGAGAGTGCGCTTGTTGCGTTCTTCACTGAGCCCGTTTTGTTTGCACTCGTGTTCGCGTCGTTGTGACGACGTGCCGGTGCCAGCCCTGACAACATTACGGCGAAAATGTAACGTAAAAAAGACGATGACCACAAAGTGAACACCGCAAGCACTCACTCCCAACTGAAAGCTTCTACTTGAACTGAAAATATATAACATCAAAACCTTCACGCTCTACTAAATCTCGCGCAGGCGCATCATGAGCGGAGCAAAAGGCAAGAAAACAAAACAAGAACAAGCCTCCTGCACCCCCTCCTCTCTGGTCTACACTGTCTCCTTGAGTGGTATTACTTCCTTTTCTGATAAGGCTGAAGAAGGATTGCTAACACACATAGAAACCCCCACCTTAATATGGAAAGCCACGGCAAGTTCCCCGTGCCGTGCGATCGTGGTGTCTAAACAAGATCTCTGTCGCCGAGAATCGTCCATTGCACTGCCTCACTGCGCAGTGCATGGCAAGGTGCGTTAGGGGTTACCCCTACAAGGAAGACTGATGCTCTCTAAGACGTATGTTTAAACGTCCGCCTGTCTGGCTGACGCACACGACTACATGACAGAGGGATGCAATAGACGACGTTGGCCCTACATGACACGAACCTAACCTTGTGACTAATGGAGCAACCACACGTCCCGACGTTATCAAGCTTCTTGCTGACCCTTTATCATAGTCTGCCTAGCTTGTTATTAGCCGAATGTTCAATTTTCTGAAATGCATTTATGAATGTGATGCTAGCACAATGGTTGTACATCTAATCAAATGCCTGCACGCACTTCGAAAGACTGTTAAAATCGACAAAAGCCTTTTTTGCGCAACATAAAGTTGCTCCTTTGAGGAGTAACCATGAGAGCGGGTTTACTCTTTCGCAGTTACTCCCAAAATGGAGCAATGGGTGCATCAGGTTAGTTACTCTTCTAAAGGAGCAACTTCCATACCTCTAGTCCTTCTTCACTTATTCGAGTGTAAAGTTACTGACAATTTCATACATTAATTGACTGTCAGCGCTCTTTCGGGCTCATACTGTCTCTTCCTTTACCGTCGTCACGTGTTTCTACAATACGACCCCATTCCTCATTCACGCAAACTCTACTATGCCTTTGTTTTCACCTCGGCAAACACAATAACCGAAGTAATGTGTAAATAAGTGAGTGAATTCGAGCGGGAAAACGTTAGGAGTCGTGAGTTTGCGGTCCTCTTCACGCACAAATGTTTAGTGCCTTATCACTGGGCTGAAGTACATTCTCCTGAAAAAGAAACCAAAGTGCTCCGCTTGATGATGTCATTGTATACTTGTGCCGACTTTTGACTTTGTTGTTATTTTGTTTAAGCTGCTCATAAGTTGTACGTCAAATATTTTATTTCATCTTCACTCCCGACTCTTGCCTATTCACTGCGTGCGCTTGAGTACGGTAGGACCAACCAGTTCATCCTACTCCTTCCAAAACTTCACATCGATGGCACATGGTATGCACCGGTGACAGGAAGTCGCAGACATGAAACATCTGGGAAATCGAGGTTACCCCCCCCCCCCCCCCACCTATAGAAAGAAAATCAAAATGTGCGCACTCCAAAACTTTCCAGTTGATCTGTCCAATTTCTTTTCATCCCGGTAATCTCAATTTCATTATGATGAAATTCATGTTACTGTTCGGAGAACGATGCCACACAAATAATAGTAGAAGGCGTGGTTTACTGTGGCATGATACTCCGTGAGAACTTGGTATTAGTTGTAAAATCACTCATGGAACATAATTCTTGTTATCCTATAACGCAAAGAGAAAAAATGGGACTTGGAATTTTCGCGCGACAACTTATGCGCAGCTTGAATTTACTTGTTGTCGCAAAAGATATAAATAAACAGCGGAGCTGTTGACATCAGCGCGCCTTTCCTCCGGTTTCATCAACGCTCGGCGCACCCTTTCTTCTCTCTCAGCAGCTTCTCCACAGGATTCTTCGAGCGCCATTTCTCTTCTCCTCTCTACCCTATTTCACTCTTTTCCTTCTCTACCAAGTTCAACTAGGTACATCATACTTCCTTTTCACCCACTTAGCTTTCCCTATGATCTTCCTCTCATTGTTCGTCGCTCTAGTAGCTGGGTTACCAAGACAGGACGACGGTCCTCTTTGCTTTTAATGGTGCAATTAAACACTGTAAGTTACGCAGCTCACAGAAAAGGTCATTTGAAATGACCTTGATGTTTCCGAAATTTATGAACACGGCCGCTTCGGATTGCAGGCAGCCCGAGCTGGTTGGAGATTGGTTCCAACGTGCTCGTGCGCTTCCTGGTTCTGAGTGCGGGTTTCATCAAGTGGATCATGGCACCCGAGATATTCCCGACATCAGCTCGCAGCTTTGGCTTCGCCTGTGTCCTCACCTGCTCGCGATGCGGTGCCATGGTGGCACCTTTCCTCCGGGATCTGGTAAGAACTGTTTCTGTGCTCTTTCCAAAGTCTCTCAGTACATGATCAGCGCTGCTCACTCACATCCTGTCCCTTACAAAAGAAAATTGCCACCTTACTGCAGACATCTCACATGTCACCTGATAGGCACATTACATGAAACCAGGTGCCAGAAACTCTGTCACCCCATGTCTCCCTTCACTGCACTGATACGAACAGTTGGGTAAGTAGTTTCTCTGAAACATACGTTCAACGTGCAGAGTGAAACACAAGAGTCGTACGGCACAACCATTGACAGTGGCGTACCAACTCTTTCGCGAGTGGGGGGGAGCTAACATCCCTCACTCACTCGTCATCCTGAATATATATATATATATATATATATATATATTGTAGAGAAGCCGCCGAACACTGAAGTGGGTAAAACTCTCAAGTGTTCTCTAGTGGGTCTACCCGAAAAAGGACGCCGCTCGCGCTTGGAGTCCGTGCTTGGCCGTTACTGTCGCCATTGTGTATACTCGCTGTCTGCCCGCTAGTAAACGCCATAACAAATTGGTGGAGAAGCTGTTGTGCAACCACAACAGCTTCCGGCCCCTGCGCCCCCAAGTTACGCCCAAGTGGTCGCTAGGCCGCCTCCAGTCGTTCAACCGCCCGTCCCACTGACTTACGCCGAAGCTGCCGCACGACCTCCATCCTTTACAGCGGCTATGCCGGCTACGTATGTTGACGTGACCTCGCAGACTCAGCTCCAGCACCCCCTGCAGCCTTTCCAGCCACAGTTCCGTCCATCGGCTCTTACGTCATGGACAAGACCTACCCCAGCGAACCGATGGCGCACACCCGACAACCGGCCCATCTGCTTTGCCTGCGGTTACGCTGGTCACGTAGCCCGTTATTGCCATCGTGTACAGCCGGCTCCCATTTCTTCGCCTATAGCTGGCCACCTCAGCCGTCCCTATCACGACGAAGCACCGTCTATGCCACCGCCGTCTCGCCCAGGTTCATCTCCTCGAAGGTCGCCGTCTCCACGACGTCGTTCCTTGTCCCCCATGAGGCCAAGTTCGGCTAATCATGAGCGGGAAAACTAGTCGTCGCAGTCCCCGAGGCAAGGACTGCGATGCTATTGCGATATGAAAGCCCTCAGAGCCGCCCATCTAATGTCATAGACGTGCTTGTGGACGGTGTTCATGCATCTGCTCTTATTGACACTGGAGCTGCAGTATCCGTTATGGACGAAAACTTTTGCCGCTTGCTTCGAAAAGTGACGACGCCGATTTCTGGGTTGTCCCTTCGTACTGCCGGTTCACATCGTATCCATCCTTCAGCAGAGTGCACAGCTCGCGTTGTCGTTCAGGACGTTCTGTATGTCGGCCAATTCATCATCATTCCTGCATGCTCTCATGACGTCATCCTGGGGTGGGATTTTCTTTCCCGCAACGACGCCGTCATCCATTGTGCCAATGCCGAAATTGAACTCTCACCCTTCTCGCATTTGACGCCGGAAGACAGTCCCTCAAAATTGAGTAAGATTCTCGTGAAAGACGACACCTTAGTGCCTCCAAGCTCAGCGATGGGTGTACATGTCTACTGCGCTGGACTCTCCGACACAATTGCGCTCGTTTCGCCATCCGACCGTGCTTGCCGACGGAAAGGGTTGCTAGTACCTTTCGCGACCGTGCAAATCACCCAGAGCAACGCCGCTATTTTTGTGACCAACCCATCCCCGTACACTGTTACCTTGGTTCGAGGGGAATGTCTCGGCAGAGTGGAACCAGTGGATAACGCACAAGTCCTGGACGTACCTGATGACTCGCGTTGTCCCAGTTCGTGTACTGTCAGCGCTGTTTCCACTTATGATTCATCATCTCCTGATGTATTCGGCCCCTACATTGATGACAATCTTACGTCGGTACAGCGTTCCCAGCTTCTGGACCTGCTGCGAGAATATCATTGTTCTTTCGATGTCGGGCGAAGTTCTCTCGGTCGCGCGTCCGCTGTTACACATCGTATCGACACTGGTGCCCATCCACCTTTACGGCAACGTCCCTACCGCGTGTCGCCTGCTGAACGTCGGGAAATTAACGAGCAGGTTGATGATATGCTCAGACGCGACGTTATTCGGCCCTCGGACAGTCCCTGGGCGTCTCCTGTTGTTCTTGTCGCGAAGAAAGATGGTTCTGTGCGGTTCTGTGTGGACTACAGACGGCTCAATAAGATCACGCGCAAGGATGTTTACCCACTGCCGCGCATCGATGACGCAATTGACAGCCTTCACGGAGCCGAATTTTTTTCTTCTCTCGATCTGCGCTCGGGGTACTGGCAAGTACCCATGGCTGATGACGCTCGACCGAAGACTGCGTTCATCACACCCGACGGCTTGTACGAATTCAACGTCATGCCGTTTGGTCTATGTAATGCTCCTGCGACCTTTGAGCGCATGATGGACACCGTGCTGCGCAACTTGAAATGGCACACGTGCTTGTGTTACCTCGATGACGTTGTTGTGTTCGCCCCAGATTTCTCCACGCATCTCCAACGTCTGAAAGAAGTTTTCGCACGTGTGAGCAATGCCGGCTTGCAACTAAATCTGCAGAAGTGCCGCTTTGCAGCACGGCAACTGACCATCCTAGGGTACGTCGTGTCTAAGGATGGCATTCTTCCTGACCCAGCCAAGCTTCGGGCCGTGGCTGAATTCCCCAAACCTGCGTCCGTCAAAGAACTGCGTAGTTTCGTTGGCCTGTGCTCATACTTCCGACGCTTCATACGAAACTTTGCTACGATTATATCACCGCTGACGAAGCTCCTTGGAAGTAACGGGCCCCTCAATTCGTGGTCGTCTGAGTGCGACGACGCGTTCGCGAAGCTCCGCCATTTGCTGACGTCTCCTCCCATTCTACGCCACTACGACCCTACGGCCCCGACGGAGGTGCACACAGACGCCAGTGGTGTAGGCCTCGGCGCTGTCCTGGCGCAGCGCAAACCCGGATTCCCTGAATATGTCGTAGCATATGCAAGCCGTACGCTCACGAGAGCCGAGACAAACTACACCGTCACGGAGAAAGAGTGCCTGGCGATCGTCTGGGCCCTTACAAAGTTTCGACCTTATTTGTATGGTCGCCCATTCGATGTCGTCACCGACCATCATGCACTATGCTGGCTTTCATCATTGAAGGATCCCTCAGGCCGTCTCGCCCGTTGGGCTCTTCGCTTACAAGACTACGACATCCGCGTGCTTTACCGCAACGGACGCCAGCATGCTGACGCCGACGCCCTCTCGCGCTCCCCTCTGCCTGAAGGTGATGTGCTCTGCTCAGTATCCTCGACTGCAGTTTCTGCCATTGATGTTGACATCATCGCTACCGAACAGCGAAAGGATAATTCGATCGGCCCGCTCATCGACTTGCTCGCTGATCCTTCCGCAACGCCATCCACGCGTGCCTTGCGTCGTCAAGCTCGCCATTTCGCCATCCGTGACGGCCTTCTACACCGACGCAATTACGACGCCGATGGCCGGCAGTGGTTACTCGTGATACCCCGCAGTCTGCGGTCAGAGATCTGTGAATCCTTCCACTCTGATCCGCAATGCGCGCACTCTGGGGTATTCAAAACCTACCGTCGCATTCGACAACGCTACTTCTGGCGCGGGATGTACCGCTACGTGCAGCAGTTCGTTCGCTCCTGCCTCGCTTGCCAACGCCGCAAACCGTCAGCACACATGTCGCCAGCCAGTCTTCAACCGTTACCTTGCCCTGAGCGTCCGTTTGGGCGCATAGGTATCGATTTGTATGGGCCGCTTCCTCTGACGTCGGCTGGTAACCGCTGGGCCATCGTCGCCGTAGATCATTTAACGCGATACGCCGAAACCGCTGCTATCCCTGCGGCTACAGCGCGTGATGTTGCGTCCTTCCTACTGCAACGATTTATACTGCGCCATGGTCCACCTCAGGAGCTTCTCAGCGATCGAGGCCGTGTCTTCTTGTCAGAAGTCGTCGAAGCCATTCTCATGGAGTGCCATTCTGTCCACCGCAAAACAACTGCTTACCACCCGCAGACGAATGGCCTGACCGAACGCTTTAACCGCACCCTCGGCGACATGCTTTCGATGTACGTCGCCGCCAACCATACGAATTGGGATACTATACTGCCCTTCGTCACCTATGCCTACAACACCGCCCCTCAGAGCACGACCGGTTTTTCACCTTTCTTCTTGCTGTACGGAAGGCACCCGTCACACACCATCGACACTATACTCCCGTACACGCCGGATCCATCTGAGTGTGCACCTATTTCCGAGACAGCCAGGCTTGCTGAAGAGTGTCGCGAGCTGGCCAAGACATTTACGACGCATGAGCAAGAGCGGCAGAAGAGTATTCGAGATGGCTCCGCCGCTTCTGAACCTACGTTCCTTCCTGGTTCCCTTGTATGGCTCTCAATCCCGACCTCTGTAGCTGGCCTTTCTTCCAAACTACTTCCGAAATATGAAGGTCCCTTCCGTGTGATCGAGCGCACATCTCCGGTCAACTATCTTATCGAGCCAATTGAACAATCTTCGGACATGCGCCGCCGCGGGCGCGACATAGTCAACGTGGAGCGCCTGAAGGCTTACTATGACCCAATCGTAGTGACAAGCTGCTAGGTCGCCAGGCGGCTCCCTTTTCGACCCCGGGGTGATTGTAGAGAAGCCGCCGAACACTGAAGTGGGTAAAACTCTCAAGTGTTCTCTAGTGGGTCTACCCGAAGAAGGACGCCGCTCGCGCTTGGAGTCCGTGCTTGGCCGTTACTGTCGCCATTGTGTATACTCGCTGTCTGCCCGCTAGTAAACGCCATAACAATATATATATATATATATATATATATATATATATATATATATATATATATATATATATATATATATATATATATATATATATATATATATATATATATATATATATATATATATATATATATATATATATATATATATATAATATATATATATATATATAAAGAAGTGTATACCTAAGGGCTCGTTTCTC